GTAGCCTCTACAGACTGCTGGGGCAAGTGCTGTTAGTAGCGAGTAGCAGCAGCACCTATGAAGGTAGACACAAAGGTCCCCCGTGTAGCCTCTACAGACTGTAGCGGCAAGTACTGTTAGTAGCGAGTAGCAGCAGCACCTGTGAAGGTAGACACAGACAAAGATCCCCCGTGTAGCCTCAACAGACTGCTGGGGCAAGTGCTGTTAGTAGCCAGTAGCAGCAGCACCTATGAAGGTAGACACAGACAAAGGTCCCCCGTGTAGCCTCACCAACTTTCGGGGCAAGTGCTGTTAGTAGCGAGTAGCAACAGCACCTATGAAGGTAGACACAGACAAAGGTCCCCCGTGTAGCCTCACCAACTTTCGGGGCAAGTGCTGTTAGTAGCGAGTAGCAACAGCACCTGCGAAGGTAGACACAGACAAAGGTCCCCCGTGTAGCCCTCACCAACTTTCGGGGCAAGTGCTGTTAGTAGCAGCAGCACCTATGACGGTAGACACAGACAAAGGTCCCCCGTGTAGCCTCAACAGACTGCTGGGGCAAGTGCTGTTAGTAGCAGCAGCACCTGTGAAGGTTGACAGACAAAGGTCCCCCGTGTAGCCTCTACAGACTGTGTGGGGCAAGTGCTGTTAGTAGCGAGTAGCAGCAGCACCTGTGAAGGTTGACAGACAAAGGTCCCCCGTGTAGCCTCAACAAACTGCTGGGGCAAGTGCTGTTAGTAGCGAGTAGCAGCAGCTATAAAGGTAGACACAGACAAAGGTCCCCCGTGTAGCCTCACCAACATTCGGGGCAAGTGTTGTGAGTAGCAGCAGCACCTGTGAAGGTAGACACAGACAAAGGTCCCCCATGTAGCCCTCACCAACTTTCGGGGCAAAGTGCCGTTAGCGAGCAGCACCTACGACGACTACCGGCACTGTGGCACGCGATGGCGAGCAGGGGGTGGCTAGCACCACGCCCGGCCGCCTTTGTCTCCCCAGTGGCGATGTTCACACACCGCTACACCAGGCACTCGTTGTTTACCGCGCTGCACAGTCACCTCGGTGCTCAGTTGAGGCTGAGTCGGCACCAGCAGAGGCCCAGGACCACAAAGACAAAGGTCCCCCATTAGAGCCGTGATTAAATTAGTTACCTGCAGTGTGGAAGGCGAGAACATGAAGTGAAGGGGTCTACAAACATTACATTGGTGGCGCTCCATCCAGTTACTGAGGGGTTGCGCAATCAGAGGGGAGGCAGAGCGCGTCGCTGCCTCACCTCTCGTCTCTTCCCGCAGCGGAGCTCCGCAAACTTGGCGATTTTGACCACGAAAATCATTGGAATCGTACAGAAATGACATTGATAACACAGATCAGTGGGGAAAAATCTTCACATTTATTTGATTTGATTTTTTTTACTTTCCGTAACAGCTATTTTCATTGGAGCATAACAAGGACAAAGATCCCCCGCATAGCCTGTGACAGGTGTAGGGGCAAGTGCTGTGAGCGAGCACATATGAAAGCCGGCACGGCACACGAGGGGGTGGTTGGCCAGCACCCGCAGTGGTTAGATGTCGACTACCTCCCCTGGTGTACAGGAGGTCGTGAGTTCAATCCCGACCCTGACGATGCCTGCTGCTGTAGATTTGGAGTTTGCGTGTTTCTCTCATCATCATCACGGTGGCTAGGAGATGTTGACTACCTCGCCTGGTGTACAGGAGGTCGTGAGTTCAATCCAGACCCTGACGATGCCTGTTGCTGTATATTTGGAGTTTGCGTGTCTCTCTCTTATCATCATCACGGTGGCTAGGAGATGTTAACTACCTCGCCTGGTGTACAGGAGGTCGTGGGTTCGATCACACACAGTCACACAGTCACACACACTCCACACACACACACAGTCTCACACACACACACAGTCACACACACACAGTCACACACACAGTCTCACACACATAGTCACACGCACACAGTCACACGCACACACCACACACACCAGTACCTCTTACATGCACCACTAGCTCTACCTCCCTACTGTGCCAGGCTAGGTGCAGGAGGAGGTCACGGGGCAGACCCAACAGGTGACATGGGTTGGCTGACTGAGATGACCGGTAGATGCACCACCAGCTGTACCTCCCTACTGTGCCAGGCTAGGTGCAGGTGGAGGTCACGGGACAGACCCACAGGTGCCATGGGTTGGCTGACTGAGATGACCGGGAGATGCACCACCAGCTGTACCTCCCTACTGTGCCAGGCTAGGTGCAGGAGGAGGTCATGGGGCAGACCCAGCAGGTGCCATGGGTTGGCTGACTGAGATGACCGGTAGATGCACCACCAGCTGTACCTCCCTACTGTACCAGGCTAGGTGCAGGAGGAGGTCACGGGACAGACCCAGCAGGTGCCATGGGTTGGCTGACTGAGATGACCGGTAGATGCATTACCAGCTCTACCTCCCTACTGTACCAGGCTAGGTGCAGGAGGAGGTCACGGGACAGACCCAGCAGGTGCCATGGGTTGTCTGACTGAGATGACCGGTAGATGCACCACCAGCTGTACCTCCCTACTGTGCCAGGCTAGGTGCAGGAGGAGGTCACGGGGCAGACCCAACATGTGCCACGGGTCGACTGACTGAGATGACCGGTTGATGCACCACCAGCTGTACCTCCCTACTGTGCCAGGCTAGGTGCAGGAGGAGGTCACGGGGCAGACCCAGCAGGTGCCACGGGTCGACTGACTGAGATGACCGGTAGATGCACCACCAGCTGTACCTCCCTACTGTGCCAGGCTAGGTGCAGGAGGAGGTCACGAGACAGACCCAGCAGGTAGTGCGTGGGAAGCAATAACGCTCCCTGCTGCAGCCCACTCTGAACCGCTACCACTAAGAATGCCATCCACCTCCTGTGTATGAGCCACGCTGTTTTACTAGGGCACCCAGTGGCGTAGAATAGTTGGCATGGGCCCCGGTGCATATGCGAATGAAACCTCGGTAGAGAATATACAAATGAAAAGATATTTTTTACAAGCACCATTCAATGCGTGTATCTTGAGCTTGAGAACCGGTATTGATCTTTACAAAGTATATCATTTAACTTGCAATGAATGCAGAGGTGGAGCGATCCGATCAACTCGTGTGCAGAAATGGGGGTGGACTTGCATTGCGAGAGCTTGCGGGCTGGTGATGACTTGGGGAGACCATCATCAGCCATAATCTGTCCTGCTGGATGAAGGAATCTGCACACCATTCCCATCAGCAGTGGATAGATTGTGGCTCATGATGGCAAGGGGGAGCCCTTCATCCAGCAGCGAATAGATGATGGTTGGTGGTGATGAGGATAACTGCAGCAGAATTATCCGACCGTTGCAGCTGTAGAAGTGGATACAAAGGTCAGGATCATTTATTTATTTTCACTTTGTTTCAAACGATATTGCACGTCGGATGGATGCCGTCATTTTGCGCGACCCCTTTTAATGCCGCCTCTCGTGACACTTTTCTGCCGCAGTGTGGCCCAGCCCGAAAAATGTGAAAGTTATTTTTATGGAAACATTGAACCCATGCCACGTCTCATACCTGTGATGAGCCTCGGTATTGCGATCATCCGAATTATCACGTCGGTGGGTGGATTGCCCCTTTTTCCTCTCATAAGCCACATGGCCCATTATTTCATGGGGTTGGCCGCTCGGATGATAGTCCATGTACTTCTATTCTGTGATTCTCGAATTACCTCTACTATCCTTAGATAGAGTTGCATTCACTTACAAATCATAGACTTTCACAGAGACCCATAGACTCGCATAAGGTCAGCTGCTCATATAGTCTCAGTCTTCTTTCTCCGTTCTATTCTTTGCCTCTTATCTACTCGCATTCACAATCTTCGGCATCACGTTCCACCACATTCTTCCATCTCACCCTCGGTCTCTCCTCCTCATGCCCTGCACTGCTGGCATTTCCATAGTCCTCCACGTTGCATCTTATTTGTCTCTTCTCAACACGTGCCCCATCCATCTAATTCTGACTTCTCATCGTCTCGCGAATATGTCACCCCTGCGGTTTTCACCGTTTTATTTTCTATTGCTCGTTAAATCAACACCGTTAAAGTAGGCGAAGAATTATCGACTTGCACAGCTCACGCTGGCTTTAATTGGGTCCACGCTTTCACACCCTCAGCACCCCTATTGTTTTATATTTAGAAAGTCAGGCGCATTACGAGCTGATCCGCTGATCCGCGCGTGATTGGTAAGCCTCAGCGTTGCCCCGGTTCGGGAATAAGTCTGTAAACATCCAACCGCGTTAATTTTAAACGGCTCACGCTCTCCGCCTGCACAGATGGCTCCTCCCGTGAATGTCGGTGGCTAACAAAGCCGTTTGGAATAAATGCGACGAATTAAATCGCCCTCTTAAAAAATAAAATGGCCTCTCTCGTCTTTCCCACCGTCAACTCTTCTTTTTATCCGCACCGCCAACTTCACCAATGCCCCCCCCCCCTGGTATGTGCATTGTGTATCCAGTCATCAGTACTTTTACTCACTTATGTGTGTATATGAGGAATTATCTGGAAGTTGTAACCAACTAATTCTGCTCATATTTGGGCCAGTCGACAGTCCATCATTCACCCTTTTGTACGGGCCCAGTCACTGATAAGGGATAATTTGGGGATAAGTACCTCCTGAAGTGGGTACATATATGTTCAACTATCTATACTCGAGTGCAGCGAGAGAGAGCAACCTGACAGTGGTGACAATTTACCCGATTTATTTTTCATTTGTTTGGCAGGCTAAGTAACTCGGCAGTGCTGAAAAATTCACCCTCTCTGAGCACCTGCACACGCCTTCAGAGGAGCAAAATGCTCCTCTGAAGGCGTTACTCCAACCGAGGTTGGAACCCTCGTGTTAACGCTTTATTGGCGGACTGTTATTATGTAGAGTATATAGAGCACCGCAAATACGTCATTTCAAACCACGTGGTTTCTTTTATTTGAACGCAACTTTGAACAGGGCGAGGGTCTAAGCAAACAAACAGGAGAGAGGGGCACCATCGGTCGACTCGCCACCCACATGCCGGCCGTGGCAAGGACGCTGTCCCTGCTGCCGTCGCCGCTCCACTCAACGGATGCCGAAACGGCGAAGGAGGTGGCTTCAACCGCACAACACAAACGCAGCAGAGAAACGGCTTCAACTCTACAACAAACACTACCACCCACCATGATCATCATCATCATTATGATGCGGCTGCTAGCTGCTGCCATTATACAGCAGCAGCAGCATCTGGCAGCATCTGGCATCCCACAGTAGCCCTACAGGCGGCTGGGTTGCGAATTTAAATCCTGGTTGTACAAAACAAAAGCAGTGGTGCATTTTGACGGTCAGCAGGTAAAGTCCCCCACTGAGCTGCTGCTGCTACTACCTTCTGATGATGACCACGACGACGATAACTAAAGCAATTTAGCCAAATTATCCTGTTGAAATAGAACTTGCCGATGGTCTAGTGACAACGTGACTGCGTTGTTGCAGGTTAACGCCGCCACCGTGACAACGGCCTGGCGACAACGTAACCGCCATTGCCACGCGATACCAGGCAGGGCGTCTTCCCCGACGACAGCGCTTTACGAGCCCCGGGCGAACCGCGGAGCGCCGTCATCGACGTCAGTGACGTCCACGGTCACCACGGTGACGGCGCTGGGCGAGGCGGCGGCGTCGTCGTCGGCGGCGGCCGCCCACACCGTCAGGTAGTGGTGGCGGCGCTTCTCGTAGTCCAGGGCCTTCGCCACGACGGTTATCACGCCTGGGTACACGCACACCACGGCACACACAGCACACGTCTCTGCCTGAGTCTACGAGAGACACGGCGGACAGGGGACCTTCCACGACCCGAGGGAGCCGCCGTCTGTGCCCCGTGCTGCGTCTCTCACCGAGCTTCCGGTCGACGTCGAATGCCCCGAGCTCGTTGCCGCTGGCGATTCCGTAGCTCACCGCGCCCCCCCCGCTCAAGACGGCCTCCACGGCAATGACCGCGGTGCCCGGTGCCGCGTCCTCTGGCACGGCGGCGCGGTAGGCCAGCCGCCGGAATGCCGGGGCGGCGGCAACGCCACGGTCGTCGTCGTGGAGGGACACGAAAATCACGGCGGTGGTGGGGGGCGGCATCAGCGAGACTCCTCCACCGCTGCGGGCCTGCACCGTGAGGTTGTAGACGGCACGGCGCTCCAGCAGACGCTTGACGGTGATGATGCCCGAGCGGCCGTCGATGGCAAAGCGGTCGCCGGCAGAGTTCAGCAGAGAGTGAGTGACCCTGCGGTGGGGGCCTAAGAACACACACATCAAGCGCCAGTCTCCACTAAGTGGCAGTGATGTCACCACGGCGCTTGTGCCAAGCAAGCTAGGTGCACGTTGAGGCCACCACGTGAAGTGTCGAACTCCCATCGGCAGGAGGTCACGGGGCAGACCCAGCTGGGTCTGTCTACAGGAAAGCCACCCACACAGATTCCTACTTGAAACCTGATTCCCACCACCACCCATCTCAAAAGAATTCTCTCATCAAAACGCTATACCACAGAGCTCATGGCATTTCTGACCAACACCATCTGGACAGTGAATTAAGACATGTGCATCGGGCCCTCAGGATGAAAGGATACTCTGACCGCACCATCCGCCAAGCTGTTTCTCCCACCATACAGAAACAGCCACATGAAACTCCGATCAAAACCATCACGTTGCCATACATAGCAGGCGTGACCAAAAAGATCTCCAAAATTCTAAACAAACATAAGATCCAAGTCCGATTCAGTACAGTACATAAAATCCGTGATCTAATTCCATTTGTGAAAGATGTCATTCCTGACTTACAATACCCTGGAGTCTACAAACTGAGTTGCATTTGTGGTGATTGCTACATTGGAGAAACGAAACGTCATATCGCTGATCGTGTCCGCGAGCACAAGTCAGATCTGAAACACGGCAAAACTGATTCTTCCGCCATTGCCGATCATTGCTACAACTCGGTGGGCTCTCATGAAATTGTCTTTTCCGAGACCAAGGTGCTCTGCAAACCTCCTGGCTACCATCAAGGGTTTTTACACGAAGCCATCCAAATATACAAACACAGACATAATTTCAACCGTGATGATGGGTACAAACTTAGTAATCATTGTAAAGATGTTATTAACCATGTAAAAAATATTTCACTACACATATTTGGACCATCTTATTTGACAGGCACTATTCTTCAGTTACCATATAGTTTCTTCTTCTTTTTTCACACACTGGTTTTCCTACTTTAAGTTTTACCACACATATTTGGCAAATCTAAAATTAATCCCAGCAATGTAGCAAAGTGCTGTTTCATCTACATAACAAAGGCTCAGTCCCATTCACAGCAGCCGCACCTTTACATCAGCCACACCTTAATAACTCTTAGAACCTCCCAGTTCAACCAGTCTACACAACAAAGACTCATTCCTGGCAGCGGTTTCAGCCGCACCACCTCTACATAACAAAAGGCTCAGTCCCATTAACACGCACCTTTACATCAGCCGCACCTTAACAACTCTTGGAACCTCCGAGTTCAACCAGTCTACACAACAAAGACTCATTCCTGGCAGCGGTTTCAGCCGCACCACCTCTACATAATAAAAGGCTCAGTCCCATTTACACGCACCTTTACATCAGCCGCACCTTAACAACTCTTGGAACCTCCGAGTTCAACCAGTCTACACAACAAAGGCTCATTCCTAACAGCGTGCCTCAGCCGCACCGACCCTCACAATAATAATATTCAGGGCCTACCTTGGCTCCTCCCACCCTCAAACCAGTATATATACAAGGACTGTTTTTTTGCAATTTCTCTTACTTGATACAGCTGTCGTGCTGTGACGGTTCCACCTGAAGACGGAAGCTTGTGTTGCCTCCAAAACGATTTTTATTTTATTTTACTTTTATTAATTTTAATTTTAAAAAAATACCTACGTGACTTTACCAAAACAACCTAAGAATATGTACGTCGTCACCGTCGTCGTACCCAGGTCGGAGTCGACGGCGTGCATGCTCGTCACCACCATCCCCACGTTGGCGTCGCTCCAGTGCAGGGCGACGGCACGGGGTGACCCCACGGGGAAGTGCGGGGCCGAGTCGTCCAGGTCCCCCACCCTCACGAGGATCTCCACCCGGCAGGAGAGGCCACCCCCGTCGGTGGCGATCACGCCGAGCGCGTGGGCCGGGGAGGCCTCGTGGTCCAGTGGCGCCAGCGTGAAGAGCTTCCCTACGCGTGGCCACGCCGACGAGAGGCGTACACGGGAGGTGGACGTGGGTTCGATCCCAACCCCGACGACTATGCGAGTGTGACGGAGAGAGTGAGTGGGACGAGCGTTACCGCTGACGGGGTCCAAGCGGAAGAGCGTCGCTCCGGCACCATGCAGCGAGTATCTGACGGTTCCGTTAGAGCCGGAATCGGAGTCACGGGCTGAAACGCTCAGCAGGAAGACTTGCTGGGCGATGTCCTCCGGTACAGTGATGTTGTACCACAGCTGGGGTACAGCGGAATTTTTGTGAGCCCAAAGATGTAGGAGAGCCAGTAGTCGAGGCGACACTTATTTAACAATAACTATAGCACAGGGTCCCTAACACACCCGCTGCCTGGGGGAGGTATGGCCTCCGGGCTACCGTGGCCTATCGACTGCGACCACGTACACTCGCAGTCCCCTGGCTAGGGGCCCTAGGGGGAGGCTACTTTGACCCGCTGACCCAGCCAAGGTCCTTGGTACCGACCACTTGCCCTCACAGCCCTGGCCCTTACAACGACAGTGGGTCTGGGGGTTCCCAGGGTCCTACTCTAAGCCCAGTCTTCAGTCTTCAACTTGAGAACTGGGGAACCCATTCAGGGGTCCGGCTTTTAGTCACCTCCCAGGGTCTCTCCACCCCTGGCCACGCCTTCCTTCCAGAGTGTTCCAGGGGATCCTAGAATATTCCCGCAGCCCCCCTATTGGGGTCTGCGGAACCCCGGTGGCCCACAAACCACCCCCTACTGGCGTCTGTCCACTCGTGCAGGCAAGTATACTACTATATTTTGCCACTGGTAAAAGAGGTTTCATAGTGTAAATGCTTACCCCGAGCTCTCAATACTCTGATTTTGCACTGTGTTTGAGTTGTACGCCTTCTGGTGTCATCTGGTCCAACACCAATGGGGACTAGGCTCTAAAGAAAGCCGTCTCGGGTGTGGACCAATCAACTTCAAGGACAGTGCATATCATTATCATCATCAGAGTTGCTTCTTTTTGTTTGCATTTTTGACTACTTGTGTTGTGGTTATTGCAAATATGATGCCTTGTATAAAGGTGTCAGTTTTGTACCAGTTTAAAAGGGTAAAAACCTACTACTATAAGTATACCGTGTGTTCATGGTGTTACAGTCGGGTGGTGGTAGTAGTGGTAGTATTAGTAGCAGTGGTAGGTGGTGCAGGATGAGTCTGTGGGTCTGTGCGGCGAGTCGACAGTTACGGGTACCTTGTCACACAGGGGGCGGTTGTCGTTGACATCCAGCACGGTGACGGCCACGACGACCGTCCTCGTGAAGGTGCCGTCAGCGGCCTTCACCAGCATATGGTAGCGCTCCTGCTTCTCCCGGTCAAGCGGCCGCTCCAGACGCAGCCGCCACTTGCCCCCGCTCTTATCGGGACCGAGGGAGAAGTGGCCCAGCGGGTCGCCGCCTGCGGCCAGCGTGGACGGCGTCGAGACGGAAAGCGCGCGACGACGAAAGTCGGTTTGACGCAGAGGCTTCCGCAACCAGCTGTAAATGTAGCGGTGGGTTCTAGATTTGAAGCTTTCGTGACTGCAAGGATTCATATTCTTAGGTTTTTTTTTCGGTACAGTCACCATGTAGGTAAAACATTCAAATTAATCAAAGTAAAATAAAATAAAAATCACGACGTTTCGGAGGCAACACAAGCTTCCCTCTTCAGGTGGAACCGTCACAGCCACGACAGCGTGTATCAAGTAAATTATTTTACTTTGATTAATTTTAATGTTTTACCTACGTGACTTTACCGAAAAAAAACCTAAGAATATGTAGTGGTGGGTTCACTCCGGCACAACAGGTGTACTTACGCTACACTACAAACTACCTGTCAGGTGGTACGTAAGATTCCGGTTTTGCGGCGTGGCATCCGCGTCATCCGCCTGGATGACGGCCAACGCCAGGCCAGGCACCGCATCCTCCGGCACGCGGACGTCGATCAACGGGGCCGAGAAGCGCGGAGGGTGGTCGTTGTCATCGTTCACGGTGACGATCACCTCGGCGACGGCCGGTGCGCGCTCAGGGCGGGCCGGGTCGAAAGCCTCGACGAGGAGGTGGTGCCGGTCACGGGCCTCGCAGTCCAGCCGGCTCCGCGTGCTCACCCAGCCGCTGTCGGCATCCACCGTGAAGAGTGACTCCGCTCCTCCGGCGTCGCTCTCCAGCGGCTCGACCAAGTTGTACAGCGGCCGGGCACCGCCGTCTCGGTCCGTCGCTGAGGGACGGGTGGGGGGGGGGGGAGGATGGGGCGGTAATGCCGGTGGGCTTTCGCGAGCGACCACCGGGCACGGAATGCCCAAGCGGTCTCCCCAGCGTCAGGCAGGGTCCCCCACCTGCCCTGCCGTTTCCACGCCTCGTCCCTGCGGCCACTTCCTCCCGCCGTGATATTTTCCCAATAAATTGGTTACCGAAGAGTGGCAGCCCTACCATTTGGAGCTACCTGTGTGACCCATGGACTACTCGCTCAAAAACCCATAGAAACACCACACAGACACACCACACATATACCGCTTGTGTTGACCGAGTGAGCCCAGCGCCGCACACGGCTGCGTTACCTCTCACTTGCACGAGCAGCACCCCGGCCGGTAGGTTCTCCAACACGGTGGCCTCGTAGGTGCTCGACTCAAACGCAGGCATGTTGTCTTCCACGTTCTCCACGCGCACCGTCACCGGGACCTGCGCCGTGACGTCGGCTCCGCCCCGCCGCCACGTGGCCCTCACCTCGAAGCGGTGGCTCCCCGTGGCCTCGCGGTCCAGCGCCCTCGCCACCACGATCCGCCCGTCGCCGGCGACCACCGCAAACGCGCCGCCGTCCGCCACCGCGCCGCCGCTGCCGGCCACCGCGGCGTACGCGGCGATCTCGTCGCCCGCCAGCGCGGCCGCCACCGCGCCGACCTCGCTCCCCACCGCCGCGTCCTCCGCGACCGTCAGCTCGTAGGCCGCCTCGGCGAAGGCCGGCGCCGCCGAGCCGGCGGGCAGCACAGAGACCGAGGCGGGGACGGCGGCGGAGCGCCCGCCGCCGTCCACCGCCACGATGAAGAACGACAGCCGTGAGCCCTCCAGGCCGGCGAGGCCGCCGCCCTTGGTGAAGACGCGGCCCGTCAGGGGCTCCACCTCCAGGACGTCCTCGGAGGCGTCCGGGTCCTGCCCCTTCCGGAGCGAGTAGACGACCGCCGCGTTGATCCCCTCGTCGCGGTCCGTGGCGGTGACCCGCAGGACCAGAGTTCTCTTGGCGGCGCTCGACGCAACGCCGCCCGAGTACTCGGCGGCAATGAACCGGGGCGCGTTGTCGTTTTCGTCCGTCACGACCACCTTGACCGTGACGAAGGCCGCCCTGCCTCCACCGTCCCAGGCCTTGACGCAGATGTCCACGGCCCTCTGCAAAGGGTCTTCCCTGTCGAGGGGCGCCCTCGCGAAGATCCGCCCGCTCTCGTCGATGGCGAAGTGGTCGCGGGCGAACCGGTTCGCGATGGAGTACGATACTTGCCCAAAAGCGCCCGCGTCGGCGTCCGTGGCCCGCACCGAGGCCACCGGAGTTCCTGCTTCGGAGTTTTCGGGGATCTTGGCCACGTACTGGGCCCGCCCGAAGGTGGGGTCGTGCCGGTTGGCGGGCCGCTCGTCAACCACTACCATGGCATCGGCGACGAATGCGCCATCTGTGGCGGAGACTCGGAGGTGGTAGCGAGCGGCCGGCTTCTTCTGAGGGCGGGCGGCGACGGAGACGACGCCCGTTTCGGCGTCGATTGCGAAGTTCGCGGGGTCGTCATCACCGGAGACGATGGCGTACCGCAGCCGGTAGGCGTCCGACACGTCAGCATCAAACGCCCTCAGCGCGGCCACGAAGTTCCCGGGCCAAGCTAGACTGCCCACGGACACCTCGTACAACGGCCGCTCGAACAACGGCGCATTGTCGTTCTCGTTCTTGACGGCGACGATCACCATGACATCGGATGCAAGGGGAGGCTCGCCGCCGTCTGTCGCCCTCACTGAGAAACGACGAAGCCGGCTTCGCTCGTAATCCAGAAACGCCGTGGTCACGACCAGCCCGCTGTCGGGGTCTACGTAGAATCCCTCGCCGCCCTTCTCCCCGTCGTCCACGATCTCGTAGCGGAGCGCCCGGTCGGAGCCGGCGTCGACGTCGACAGCTCTCGCATGGACGACGGAGGTCCCCGGGGGCGCAGATTCAAACAGCATGGCGGCGTAGGTTCCCTGCGCGAAGAACGGCCGGTTGTCGTTGACGTCCCCGACGATGACATCCAGGCTCGCGTCGGCGTGCGAGCCCGTCGCCAGGGAGGCGGCTCGCACCGTGAGGCGGTGGGCGGCCCGCGTCTCGTGGTCCAGCGGGCCGACGACGCTCACGACGCCCGTGACGAAGTCGACGGAGAACTGGTCGAAGGGGTCGCCGTTGACAATGGAGAAAACGAGAGGCAGGCCCTCCGGGGCCGTCGCGCGGACGTGAGCGATCGGCGCGGGCGGCCCGACGTCCTCGGGCACCCACGCGACGTAGGAGGGGCTCTCGAACGCCGGCGCGTCCGCAGCGAGCACCGTGACCGTGACGTCGACCGCGGACGACAGCCGAGGGGTCCCGCTGTCCGTCGCCACGACGGTCACGACGAAGTCCTTGCCCGACTCGTCCGGGGTGAAGCTCTTCGTCAGCGAGACGTCGCCGCCCGAAGGGCTGATGTGAAAGCGGCCGTCGTGGTCGTCCCTCAACGAGTACCTCACCCTGGCGTTCTCGCCGACGTCCCGGTCGAGGGCCGCGACGGTGAGCACGGCGCTCCACGGCGCCGCGGTCGCCACGACAACGGCGCGGTACGGCAGGCCGACGAACGCCGGGGCGTTGTCGTTCACATCTTCGACGTGCACCTCGACCGTCGTGTGAGCGACGTCCGGGCGCGCCCGGGAGCCGCCCCTCACCTCCACCAGCAGCTCGTAGCGGTCGCGCTCCTCACGGTCAAACGCGACGCCGGTCGTCTCCAGGACGCCCGCCCTCCGCCTCATCCGGAACGCGCCGCTCGGGCTGAGCAAGCGGAAAGCCAGCGGCTCGTCGAGGTCTCCCCCCGTCGCGACGACTGTGGCCACGACGTCGACCGCTGCGGCGTTCTCGAGCACGCGCACAGAGTACTTTGGCGGAACCCGCAGCCTGCCGCCGACCACCCACACGGAGACCTTCACCCGCGCGGCGCTCAAAAACCTCCCGTCGGACACCTCGACCCCGAGCTCGTAGCCGGCGGCGAGGAGGGAGGAGTTCCTCACCGCGACATCCCCGGTGCGCTCGTCGACGGCGAATGCGCCTCCGACGTTTCCCGAGGCGACGCGGTAGGTCAGCGCGGCGCCGACGTCCGGGTCGTGGGCCTCCAGGGTCAGCAGGCGGACGCCGGCGCGGGTCGGCACGTGCAGCGCCGTCTCGTACGCGGCCGTCGAGAACGCCGGGGGGCAGTCGTTGGCGTCCAGCACGGCGACGGTCACCTCGGCCGGCACCTCAGAGGACAGACTCGGGCTGCCGCCGTCCAACGCAGCCACCCGGAAGCGGAACTCGGCCGTCGTCTCGCGGTCGAGGGCGCCGGCGGTCCTGACGGCCCCCGTGTGCGGGTGAACGGAGAAGAACTTCCTGGCTTCGTGCTCCACGATCTGATAGGCGACCGTCGCGCGCCCCTCGCCGTCGTCCGCGTCAGCGGCCCGGACAACGAGCGGGGCGCCGTCGGGGTCCGTGACCGCGGTTCCCGCCGGCGCCTCCTCGCCGACGGCGCCGCGGTATCGCGGGCGCTCGAAGACGGGCGCGTTGTCGTTCTCGTCGAGCACGCCGATCGACACTGACGCGTCCGCCGAGAGGCTCGCCGCGTCCGTGGCCCGCACCGTCAGCCGGTACGACGGCGTCCGCTCGCGGTCCAGCGGTCGCTTGGTGGCGATGACCCCGGACGTCGGGTGGATGTCGAAGGTGCCTTGGGAATCGCCCTCCAATATTTCAAAGGTGACCATCGACCAGCCGGAGGTGCCGACCGCGAGCACGACGCTCCCGGGCGCGGCCCCTTCGGCGATCTCCGCCGAGTAGCCAACTCCGCCGGAGGCGAATTTGGGGCGGGTGCCGTACACGGCGGCGGCGGCGACGACGACGACGCGGACCGTGGTATTGGTGAAGCGGCGCGGGCGCCCCTTGTCCCCCGCCCTCACCACCAGCTCGTAGGCCTCCACCGCAGAGCCATCCAGCTTCCTCGCCACGGAGATGACGCCCCGCGTGCGGTGGACGGTGAAAGATTTCCCCACGTTTCCTGTCAGGGGAATTCGGAGGAATCGGATGAGCGCCAGTTCACGTCATCGAGACCAACGTGAGATGTCGAGGACAAACGACGCAGGGGAAACCGCGGCGTCCGTCTGTGATGCCGCCGCCACCGCCGCGAAGCCACTCGGCGGGCGCCCCATCTACGACCTCACCACCACCAAGCGACGGGGCCGACCCCGCTTCCCCCTCACCGCCCCCCACATAAACACACCCTCACGCATTTCCCCCCCCATAGAGCTCCGAGGGGAGGTCTCCTGGCCGGCAGGTTTTCACCCTAAAGCCCTCGTAGGGATAATCGTCACGGTTTCCTGCGGCCAGGGAATTGAGCGACCTCCCCCGATGCTGGTTTGCACCGCGGCGCTGTGACCCGGGTTGAGATTGCGTGGTCACGGCGGGGGCTGTCCAACCACCACGGTTGAAACGCACCCCCCACACACACGTATTGACAAACCATAGTCGGCCGGTAATAAATCATTAATAACTATATTCTTAGGTTTTTTCGGTAAAGTCACGTAGGTAAAACATTAAAATTAATAAAAGTAAAATAAAATAAAAATCACGACTTTTCGGAGGCAACACAAGCTTCCGTCTTCAGGTGGAACCGTCACAGCCACGATTGCTGTATCAAGTAAATGAGAGATTGCAGGAGCTACCACTCCGTTTATATAATGGTTGGAGAGGGGGGGGGGAAGGACCCCACCTGGAGACGGAAGCTTGTGTTGCCTCCGAAACGTCGTGATTTTTATTTTATTTTACTTTTATTAATTTTAATGTTTTACTTACGTGACTTTACCGAAAAAACCTAAGAATATGAATCCTTGCAGTCACGAAAACTTCAAATCTAGAATTCATTAATAACTATTCAAAACCTCGTGTGGTTTCGACGAGAGTGTGAACGCACACAGTGCTGTGTGTACGTACGCTCACTGCGTGTGAGTGTTTGTGAACTGTCCAGAACGTTTGGGTCATATGCTCTTTGTCAATCTGGAGATTTCCAGATAGTCGCTAACCTTGCCCCCAAGTCTGTTGTTTAATGTTTATTTTTCATGACCTCCAGATGCTTGGCGTGGCTTGTGACGGGTAGCAGGTTGAGTGTTGGTTCTATCTGGAAATGTGCCCCCCGGTGCAGAATCTCCCCCCTGTGGGCGGGCGGGCGGGTGGGAGTGGCGGCAGCGGCGGTCACCATGTCTGATGCTGTAGCTGACGTCGGTGTTGGGGCCTTCGTCGCGGTCCAGCGCCACGACGCGCACCACGGCGGAGCCCACGGCCGCCGACTCCGCCACGAGGGCCTCGTAGGGGCCGCCGGCGAAGACGGGCGCATGGTCGTTGGAATCGTCGACGCTCACCGTCACCGTGGCGTACGCTCGCCTCACGGGGACCCTGCCGTTCTGCACCTGCGGGTGAGAGAGAGACGGCGGGGCGGAGCGCTCGCCCCCAGACGGGAGGCTCTCGCGGCAGACAACGTCCGCGGTAGAGCGACCTGCTGGTGGCAACGTGACCGGCGCCTCGGTGTCATCCGACCGTGCCACCTCTGCCTGACACGGCCGATCGGCAAGGTTTGGCGTTGCTGAAACAAAACGCGGCAATTTGGTTACGCGGCTTGCTTACATTACTACGCAGCAAACTATCCAGCGCGCTATGGTCCCCACGCAAGAAAGTGGTCGCGGCGTCGTCGTCATCATCACCGTCGATCAGCACAGTCACGTGCACACCCGGCGCGGCGCCTCCCTCACCATGACGGTGAGCACGTGGCTCCGCTTTGCCTCTCGGTCCAGCCTCTCGGCGGCGGTGACCTCGCCGGTGACGTGGTCTACGCGGAACCGACGAAGGCTCTCCACCGCGTCACCGCCGCCCAAGCCGACGAGGAAGAAGGAGAGGCGGGCGGTGACGTCGGCGTCAGTCGCCTCCAGCCGCAGGATCGGGGCGGTGCTGGCAGACGCCTCCTCCTCCTCCGTGGCGGTCGCCTCGTAGAGGTCACGGGAGAAGCGGGGCCGGTGGTCATTCACGTCCTGCACCGTCACCACCACCTAGCGGAGGGGCGCGTGGTGGTGGTGAGTCAAGTGGCGATGCGGGTGGTGGTGGTGGTGGGGGTGAGCCAAGTGGCGATGCGGGTGGTGGTGGTGGTGGTGGTGAGCTAAGTGGCGATGCGGGTGGTGGTGGTGGTGGTGAGTCAAGTGGCGATGCGGGTGGTGGTGGTGGTGAGTCAAGTGGCGATGCGGGTGGTGGTGGTGGTGGTGAGCTAAGTGGCGATGCGGGTGGTGGTGGTGGTGGTGAGTCAAGTGGCGATGCGGGTGGTGGTGGTGGTGAGTCAAGTGGCGATGCGGGTGGTGGTGGTGGTGAGCCAAGTGGCGATGCAGGTGGTGGTGGTGGTGGTGAGCCAAGTGGCGATGCGGGTGGTGGTGATGGTGGTGGTGAGTCAAGTGGCGATGCGGGTGGTGGTGGTGGTGGGGGTGAGCCAAGTGGCGATGCGGGTGGTGGTGGTGGTGGTGGTGAGCTAAGTGGCGATGCGGGTGGTGGTGGTGGTGGTGAGTCAAGTGGCGATGCGGGTGGTGGTGGTGGTGGTGGTGAGTCAAGTGGCGATGCGGGTGGTGGTGGTGGTGGTGAGCTAAGTGGCGATGCGGGTGGTGGTGGTGGTGGTGGTGGTGAGCTAAGTGGCGATGCGGGTGGTGGTGGTGGTGGTGAGTCAAGTGGCGATGCGGGTGGTGGTGGTGGTGGTGGTGAGCTAAGTGGCGATGCGGGTGGTGGTGGTGGTGGTGGTGGTGAGTCAAGTGGTGATGCGGGTGGTGGTGGTGGTGAGCCAAGTGGCGATGCGGGTGGTGGTGGTGGTGGTGAGCTAAGTGGCGATGCGGGTGGTGGTGGTGGTGGTGAGTCAAGTGGCGATGCGGGTGGTGGTGGTGGTGGTGGTGGTGAGCCAAGTGGCGATGCGGGTGGTGGTGGTGGTGAGCCAAGTGGCGATGCAGGTGGTGGTGGTGGTGAGCCAAGTGGCGATGTGGGTGGTGGTGGTGGTGGTGGTGGTGAGCCAAGTGGCAATGCGGGTGGTGGTGGTGGTGGTGGTGAGCCAAGTGGCAATGCGGGTGGTGGTGGTGGTGGTGAGCCAAGTGGCGATGCGGGTGGTGGTGGTGGTGGTGAGCCAAGTGGCAATGCGGGTGGTGGTGGTGGGGGTGGGGGTGGTGGTGGTGGTGAGCCAAGTGGCAATGCGGGTGGTGGTGGTGGGGGTGGTGGTGGGGGTGAGCCAAGTGGCGATGCAGGTGGTGGTGGGGGTGAGCCAAGTGGCGATGCGGGTGGTGGTGGTGGTGAGGAATTGGCGAGAGGTGATCATGCCCCCGGCACGTCTCACGCAGCTACCGCGGCAACCCTCGTGAGGTCACGTCGCCTTGATGGTCTCCACAGACAGACGCACAGACACGCGCGCGCCCACCCACCAGGGTGGTTGAAGCGTTGGTCCCGTCAGTGAGCGCGACGGTCAGCTGGTAGGAGGAGAACCGCTCGGCGTCCAGCGGCTTGGCCACCTCCACCACGCCGCCGTGCTCCGTCACGTGGAACCTGCGCTCCACGTCGCCGCCTGCCAACACGCGGCGCCCCTAGCGTCGTCATCGTCATCATCGTCATCACCATTAACACACCGTCACGATGTCACCGTTAACCCATCATCATCGTCGTCACCATTAACACACCATCACGATGTCACCTTCTTGGTTCTTTCAGTAAGGTCACGTAGAAGGGAAATAATAAAATAATAAAAAATTTACATAATAAAATGATGCCACCGTTAACCCATCATCACGATTCTAGATTTGAAGCGTTCGTGACTGCAAGGATTCATTGATACAGCGGTCGTGCTGTGACGGTTCCTAATGAAGACGGAAGCTTGTGTTGCCTCCGAAACGCCGTGATTTTTATTTTACTTTTATTTTACTTTTATTAATTTAATTTTTTCACCTACGTCACTTTACCAAAAAAACCTAAGAACGCACCGTCACGATGTCACCGTTAACCCATCGTCACGATGTCACCATTAAACACGTCATGTAGGGGTTGGATGGGCAGTGGCGCCGCGTGACCTGTGATGCTGAACCAGAGGAGTGTCCCCGTGGTCTGCGTGGACAGGGCGATCACCACGGACCCCACGGCGGCCGTCTCCACCACGGTGACCGCGTGCCGGCTCCGGGCAAAGGTCGCGGGCTTCTTCGGCGGCCGGGGATTGGAGATCCACTCCACTTGGATGGTGGCTGTCGACGACAAGGTTGGCGGTTCTCCCTGGTCCCTGGCTTGGACCTGCGGGGCGGACAACGGCGAGATCGGTGAGTTACGTTTCACGGTGGGGGGCCCTCGTGTCGAGGTCATAGCTGCTCCGCCCTCCGTTGTTGTTGTTGGAGGGCGACTGCCTCCAACTGCCCAGTAGCAGCGTCCTTCACGAGCCTCCTCCACAGAGGCCGATCTTGACACCGCTGGTACCGGTCGTCAGCAAGTCCACTCAGCCCCACGTCCCCCTGTACCACGTCACTCCGTCTCTTCTCTAGCCCCCTCGATCCGGCCGAACAAAAGCTGATTAGGCATGCGGTGTCGTGTCTGAGAGGGAGGAGGGCGCGTGTCTGAGGGGGAGGAACAGGAGGAGGGATGGGGACCAGTGTGAGGGAGTGTGCTCAGCACCAGGATGGAGTGGAATGTCCCCGCACGGTGAGAGTTGATCTTGCTGTAGACGACTCCGTGCTCATCGGAGTAGTAATCGTTGTGCCACCCGCGGACGGTGTACGACACCGCGCCGTTGCCGTCCCGGTCGGCGTCGGCAGCGTAGACGCGTGCGATGGCCACCGCCTTGGGCTCCGTTGCCGCCACGGCGTAGACGCGCGTCAGGTTGCGGTGGAAGCGTGGGGCGTTGTCGTTCTCGTCGGAGACGCTCAGCGTCACCGCCACCCTCGCTTCACGCGGGGGCGTGCCGCCGTCCACGATGGACACCTGGCGCCAGTGGGCGGGACACACAAGCACAACAACAACAACCGCCATTCGGCCACTAAGTGGCTGTGACGTCACCACGATGCTCGTGCCAGGCCAAGTGCACGTTGAGGCCACGTGAAGTGTCGAACGCCCGCCGGCACGAGGTCACGAGGCAGACCCAGCAGGTGCCACGGGTCGACTGACTGAGACGACTGGCTGATGCACAACCTGTGCCGCCTACTGTTCCCACTTGCTGTGTTTAGCCACCCGGCGCTCCGCTCGTTGTTGTGAGCGTCGCTCCTCCGCCCTCCGTTGTTGTTGGAGGGCGACTGCCTCCAACTGCCCAGTAGCGTCCTTCACGAGCCTCCTCCACAGAGGCCGATCTTGACTCCGCTGGTACCAGTCACCGGCAAGTCCACTCAGCTCCACATCCTCCTGTACCAAATCACTCCATCTCCAGTCTAGACCGTGCCTGTTTAGCCCCCTCGATCCGGCCAAACAAAAGCTGATTAGGCATGCGGTGGCTGGGCATGCGGGCTACATGACCCAGCAAACGCAGCCTTGCCTGCCAGATGAGCTCACTTTGTGCAGATCTTTCAATGATTTGTGAGCTCCTCACAATCTACCCTAATTAAACCCAGGATGGATCATAGGAAGGTCAGCCTAAATGTTTCTAACCGGCAAAGATGTTCAATTAGGGGAGGGGGTCCACATTTCGCAAGCGTAGAGAAGGGTGGGAATGACTGGCCAAGAAGACCTGAAGCTTCGTGCAGAGCGACAGACCAGGTAGCTTCCACACAGCATTATGCAACCGATGAAAAGATAATGCCGCTCCACTGATTCGGAACGAGACCTCTACTGTCAAACTGAAGCCAGTCATGAGCACACTGCCAGGGTATGGGAAACTCTCCACTCTCTCCACAACTGCCCCATCACCGATTGGGAGTTGTGGGGGTGGAGTGTCCAATGGTACAAAAAACCTAGACAGGTGCTTAGTTTTGGTGGGGCTGATGGTAAGGCCCCACCTCTTAGTGACACACTCCAGTCTCAGCAGTAGCGCCTCCAAGTCCTCCTCTGAGTGAGCAGCAATCACCAGATCATCGGCATACATAACGTGGTTGAGGAATAGGGAGCCATCCCTTGATCGCCCCTGGGCATCGATCAGCCTCCCATTGTATCTGTACCAGATGGAAATTCCCCCGTTACAGCTATTGAAGGTCTTCTTGGTTCTTTCGGTAAAGTCACGTAGAAGGGAAGTAACAAAATAATAAAAAATAATAAAAATAAAACATAATAAAATTATTCTCACGACGTTTCGGCCACAACGCAAGCAGCCGTCCTCAGGTGAAAACCAGGTCCGTCGAGGCGACAGAGTCTGAATGAAACAGCACACGAGCTTGGAGCATATATATAAGCTGGGCGCATTGACAAAGGAATTTGCATATCAAGAGGAATTTAGCATATTTATGGCAAATGCAGGAATGTGATTAGTACTGCATATGCATGTGCATTATGCAGGATTAACAGCATCAAAGGGAGCTGCAGTTGCTGCTGCTGCTGCAGTTGCTGCTGCTGCTGCAGTTGCTGCTGCTGCTGCAGTTTCTGCTGCTGCTGCAGTTGCTGCTGCTGCTGCTGCAGTTGCTGCAGCTATTGAAGGCTTCACGAACTACGTGGTTGAAATAGACGTTACACGATGTAGCCAGAAGACATCCCTGTCGCACCCCAATGTGTACAGGCAACGGCTCTGACTTCCGGCCACGTAGTTTTACCCGGGCCTGATCACCATCATGAAGGGTCAGGGACTCCCACCACTACCACCACCACAACTACCACCCCCACCACAACTACCACCCCCACCACCACCACCACCACCACAACTACCACCCCCCACCACAACTACCACCCCCACCACCACCACCACCACACCCCCACCATCACCACCACCACAACTACCACCACCACCACCACAACTACCACCCCCACCACCACCACAACTACCACCCCCACCACCACCACCACAACTACCACCCCCACCACCACCACCACCACAACTACCACCACCACCACCACCACCACAACTACCACCACACCACCACAACTACCACCACCACCACCAAAACTACCACCCCCACCACCCCCACCACCCCCACCACCACCACTACCACAACTACCACCACCACCACCACCACAACTCCCACCCCCCACCACCACCCCACCACCACCACCACCACCCCCACCACCACCACCCCACCACCACCACCCCCACCACCACCCCCACCACCACCACCAGCCCCACTACCCCCACTACCACAACTACCACCCTCACCACCAACCACCACCACCACAACTCCCACCACCCCCACCACCACCACCACCCTCACTGTGACCCTCACCTCCAGCTCGTGCTCCGCCTGCTTCTCTCTGTCCAGCCGCCTGCTGCTGCTGCTGGTGCGGATGACGCCTGCAACGAGTCGTCCGTTCACCGGAGGTCAACCACAACCATCCCACGCCGCCCGGCACACGCACACGTGGGTGCGGGGGTCAACGTGGAGACGGGGCGGCGGGCGGGGGGGGGTAGCTTGTCAGTTGACAACTTAAAGACGACAAATATCTACCCCGTGATGTCAGCCTCTGTTGGGTCGCATCGTGTCAAGTGGAAAATGCGTCGATAGTGAATGTCGCTGGATTTGCTCACCAACACACACGCCGGTTAGTGCTGCACTAGCGTAATAAACGATAATTGGTTTTTAACCCTTCTATCTGGCAACAAAACTGACACCTTTTTTACAAGGAGTCATGTTTGTATAGACCGCAATACCTGCAGTCATAATGCAACAAAAAACATAACTCTGATAATGTATGCACTGTCCTTGAAGTTGATTGGTCCTCACCCGAGACAGCTTTCTTTAGGAACCAATTATCATATTTTTACTGGCAAATGAGGTTCCCATAGTGTAATAAATGACTTTGACGACGACGAACGTTGACTGGCGTCTTTATTTATTTCCGTGTCGGCTGGACAGCTCCCCGCCCCTTCGTGTAATAACCGTTCATTCTTCGCTGCACGGCGAATGTTCACGTTGTTCCACGTAACGCCGGCGTTGCGAAGGTCCCGCTCCAAGATTTCCCGATGGTTCCCCCGCGAGCACCCTTGAGCTCCCCCCCTCAACTTTGGCCCAGACAATCCCACTTCACTTGACTGGCTTGTGGCTGATGCAGCGGAGCCTATCGAGCCAGCCGGTTGGAAACCGCCGGTCTACTCTCTTATTGCACCCGTACGAATTGGCACGTTCTGTAGTGTATGCAAATTTCGATTTAAAGCTTTCGTGACTGCAGGGATTCATCTTCTTGGTTCTTTCGGTAAAGTCACAGGCTGCTTGCGTTGTGGCCGAAACGTCGTGAGAATTATTTTATTATGTTTTATTTTTATTATTTTATTACTTCCATTCTACGTGACTTTACCGAAAGAACCAAGAAGATGTATGCAATTATTTTGTGAAGGCGCCCTTCCCCCCTCCATCCCAGCTTAAATAGTCGCTCCAAGTCTGGGGTGTGTCATTTAGACTCTGTCTACTCGACAGACCTGCTCTCCACCTGAGGACGTCCGCTTGCGTTGTGGCCGAAAACGTCGTGAAAATAATTTTATTATGTTTTATTTTATTATTTTTTATTATTTATTATTTCCATTCTACATGACTTTACCGAAAGAACCAAGAAGATGAATCCCTGCAGCCACGAAAGAAGCTTTAAATCGAATGCAACGTTCTGTAGTGTATAGTAGTAGTAGTGCCGTGCATCATAGTGTAGCCGTAGGGCTCGGGGTTCAGTGTTCAGCTTTAAACCAGCGAAGGCAAGAAGAGCGGCTAGATAGGCCCTGGGACTTCCCCTGGAATCGCTGTCCTTCTCAGGATCGACCAGGGCAAGCCAGCGGCGTGGCCCCCAGAGCCCAGAGCCAATGCTACTTATAAGCCGTCTGGGGACTCAGGGGTGCCGTTATCCAGCTTAACCAGAGCTGGATCACTAGCCTCCCTAGCTCCGTAGTGGAGGACCTGGGAGTAGGCTGGCCGGGATAGAGATCGTGTGAGCTCCCCTTGTTAGACCGCGTGAAGGGGCCGTCTGGTGACTCAGGGTGCCGTAATCCCAGCTTAACCAGAGCTGGGTCAGCTAGCCTCCCTAGCCCTGTAGTGGAGGACCTAGGAGTAGGCTAGCTGTGACGTAGAGTGTGTGAATCTCCCTGTTAGACGGGTGAAGGGGCCGGTCCTGGTGACTCGGGTGCCGTCATCCCAGCTTAACCAGGGCTGGGTTAGTAAGTCCTCCCCTAGCCCGGTAGTGGAGGACCTGGGAGTAGGCTAGCTGTGACGTAGATTGTGTGATCTCCCTGTTAGACGGATGAAGGGCCGAGTACCCCTTCGAGTGTCGTACATCTCGGCCTGTAATCTACACTGTGGTTAATAAATAAGTGTGCCTCCAACTACGTCGTCCAAGTCTCCTGGAACCTACTACAACCGTGTAGTGTACACTCTACACGACATTCTCCCCCCCCCCCCCCCCCACCTGTTGTGCGGTTTATGGTGAAGAATCCCTGTGGGTCTCCGCTGACGATGTTGAACGCGAGGCCCCTGCTGCGGGCACCCACATTGTCCAGGTCCCAGGCGTCCACTTGCACCACCCGGACGCCCCCATCGGAGTTCTCCGCCACGGAGGCCTGGTACCACGGACGCGACGCCTGCGGGGGGTTGTCGTTCACGTCCTGGGGGGGGGGGAGGTGTAGTGTATATAGACCTTTCGATTTAAAGCTTCTTTCGTGAC